TGGCACCCCTGCCCCATGCTGGGCAGGCAGCGCTGCCGGCACCCCCCTCCCTGCTCCTCTCCCTGTTCCAGTACATCGAAGCCATCAGCAACAAGCAAGGGGAGCTGGAAAACTACGTCTCGGATGGCTACAAGACAGCTCTGACAGAAGAGAGGAGACGCTTCTGCTTCCTGGTGGAGAAACAGTGTGCGGTGGCCAAGAGCGCCATCACCTACCACGCCAAGGTGAGTGGGACCAGCTGAACACTCCCACAGACCAGGCTGATATCCCAAAAGTTGCAGTGGGGCTAGCCCTTGTGAGTGGGACTGGCTGAACACTCCCAGAGCATCCCACAGACCAGGCTGATATCCCAAAAGCTGCAGTGGGGCTAGCCCTTGTGAGGGTGATGGACCAGCAGGTGCCCCAGGGAGGATGCCCCAGCAGGAGCAGCTGCTCCAAATCCCTCTTGCCCATGGTAGCTCCACATCCCTCGTGCCCATGGCTGCCCCATCTCCTGGACCAGGAGCAGCAGTGCCAGCATGGTCTGGAGCAGAATCCACCCGGATGAGGGCTGGGAGTGCTGGTGCTGCTCCCGCAGCCTCGTGCTCCCGTTCTGGTTGTTCCCCAGCACCGCCCTCCRTGGCTCACAGCAGCCATCTGTCACCGCCACGCTTGGCACTGGAGCAGGAGAGGGAGYTGGGATTACTCAGCTCTGTCCTGGCGCATCCACAGCATGGATCCACGCTTGGCTTGGCTTGGCAAGCGTGGTGCAGGAGGGGACAAATGCCCCCAGGGCTGGGGGTCAGCAGRAACAAACCTAAAACTTGCTGCAGCAGCACAGAGGGTGGTTTTGCAGCAGGGACTTTGTCCTGAGTGTGGTGGGGTGTCCTGCTAAAAACTCCATCCTGCTGCTGCTCCTGGCGCCTGCAGGATGCTCCAGAGGATCATGAGGCTGGAGCCACAGGCTGATGTTGGGGAAATGTGCACTTTGAAATCAGATTGGAAGGGGATTTGATATGCAGGAGGTTTTGTCTCCGGAGGTTTTGTCTCCGGATGAGGCAGAGCAGACATTGGGTCACCCTTTGCTGCATCTGGCGAGTGACCTCGGGGGCTTGGGACACCTTCCTCCTCAGAGTCACACAGTGGGGTGCTTGTACATTCTGGGTGAATAACACAGGTTTGGCTCCATCTCTGGAGCAGTGGCTGCCAGTCCTGCAGGCAGGGAGCAGTGAGGTGTGGATGCAGCACAGGAGCCTGCAGGTTTTGGGGCTGAGCACCCAAAAGAAGCAGCTCATCCCTCGGGATGTGGGGATAGCCTGGAGCACAGGCTGTGCTCTGCCGAGGTCCTGGCCCCTCACGTTTCGTTTTCCTCCTGCAGGGGAAGGAGATGCTGACRCAGAAGCTGCCGCTGTGGCAGCAATCCTGCTCGGATCCCAACAAGATCCCGGAGCGCGCCATACAGCTGATGCAGCAGATGGCTGCCAGCAGCAATGGCACCATTATGCCCAGCCCTCTGTCCACATCCAAGTCCAACCTCATCATCTCTGACCCCATCCCTGGTGCCAAACCTCTCCCTGTCCCCCCGGAGCTGGCACCTTTCGTAGGAGTAAGTATCYCTGGTGGAAGCTGTGCTGCCCTTGTGAGCAAAGCCGGAGGGAGCAGCCCAGGCCGGTGTCACCGCTGTCCTCGGCAAGTTGCCCTGGGATGGACTGTCACTGATGGCAGGGATGGGCAGCTCCGTGCTGTGCCACCCTGGCACGTGGGAAGGACCCTGATGTGGGCATGGGCAGCCTGTCCCATTCCCATCCCATCCCATCCCATCCCACCAGAGCTGCTGAGCTCTGGCAGAGCAGGGGCTCCCAGGGGCTGTTTGGGGAGCCCACAAGCTGGACTCACCTCCAGGCTGATCCCTGAGCTGTGGGACTGAGCCCAGGTACCCCAGTAACTGGGACTGAGCCCAGGTACCCCAGTAACTGGGACTGAGCCCAGGTACCCCAGTAACTGGGACTGAACCCAGGTACCCCAGTAACTGGGACTGAACCCAGGTACCCCAGTAACTGGGACTGAACCCAGGTACCCCAGTAACTGGGGAGAAAGGCTTGGAGTGACCCATGGGATGAAGGACCATTCAAAAGAGGGTGTCCCTTTGATGTGGGGACATGAGCTGAGCAGTAGGGCTCAGCAGGGCAATGGCAAGGGCAGCAGAGCTCAGAGCACTAAAATAYCTTAGAGGAGACCCCACTGCTCCACCCTGAGCAGTTTGTTTTGGGTGGGGAACTGAACCCATCAGGATGACGCTCTGCTGTGCCTCTCTCCCTGGACTGTGTCCCCCGGGAGCTGCAGTGGGTGCCCTAAAGAAGCCGTTGCGTGTCCCCCTCCCCTCCTCTCTCCGTAGCGCATGTCAGCACAGGAGGCCATGCCGGTGATGAACGGAGTCTCGGGCTCTGACAGCGACGGGTACAACCACTGGTCTGAGATGAAGCCAGCACAGCCCAAATCTTTATCTCCTCCCCAGCCTCAGAAGCAGCTGAGTGACTCTTACTCCAATACACTCCCAGTTCGCAAAAATGTGCCACCGAAAAACAGCTACGCCTCAGGTGAGGCTCTGGAACATCCACGGGGGCTGGAGCTGGCTCTGCTGGACAGTGACTACAGCAGCCTTTCAGTGTCTGGTGCTGCTGGTGCCCCTTTCCCCGGGTGTAGGGATGTGCTGGAGCTGGGCTCTGCCATGGGGTTTCACAGGATTTCCAGCAGGAAAATCCTGCGGGATCTGGCACAGGGAACCTGCTCCCTTTGGAGCAGGGGGTGATGCCAAGAGTCTGATCCTGCCTGTTCAGGGTGAAGGTGTGAACCACACCGAAGGTTTTAGTGAGACCTGGGCTGAAATAAGGAGGGGTGGGGGCCTGTCCTGCACCCCAAGGACTCAGGGCACCCACTGGTCTCTGTCCCCCCAGCTGAAAACAAGACACTGCCACGCTCCAGCTCCATGGCCGCCGGGCTCGAGAGGAACGGCCGGACGAGGGTGCAGGCGATTTTCTCGCACGCTGCCGGGGATAACAGCACCCTCCTGAGCTTCAAGGAGGGGGACCTCATCACACTGCTGGTGCCTGAGGCCCGGGACGGCTGGCACTACGGAGAGAGCGAGAAAACCAAAATGTGAGTGGGCTGGGTGTCCTCAGTGAGGATCTGACCTTGTCCTGATCCTCCAYGGACTGACCTGGGCTTGGCTTCATCCCCGCCTTTGCCTTTCAGGAGGGGCTGGTTTCCTTTCTCCTACACACGGGTCCTTGACAATGATGGCAGCGAGCGCGTCCACACCAGGTAGGAGCATCGTGCCGGGTGCCAGGGAGCCTGTGTGCAATTCGGATGGCAATTAGGAATTCCTTAGGAATTCTGGTTGGGAGTAACAACACGTGTGGGTGGCTGCTGGTTCTGGGTGGTTTTGCCATGAGTAGCCCGGGGGTCTCTGCATGGAGCTGACACCTCTGCTCTGGGCTCCCAGCCTGCAGCAAGGGAAGAGCAGCAGCACTGGCAATCTCCTGGACAAGGATGACATCTCCATCCCKCCGCCCGACTACGGCATGGCCTCGCAGGCCTTCCCAGCACAGGGTGGCAACACCTTCAAGCAGCGGCCCTACAGCGTGGCCGTGCCTGCCTTCTCCCAGGTGAGCTCCTCCTCCTGCTTTGGGGGTGTTTTAGGAATGGGGGATGCTGCAGCAAATCCCTGGGGATGTGGGGTCTGCAGCCTCCGTGTCCCCCGGGATGGGCTGAGCGGGAGCGTTCCCGGTGCTGCGGCTGCGTGGGGGTGCCGAGGGCGGCTCTCCAACCTCTGTTCGTTGTTTTAGGACTACCTAATGCCCTATGGGTGTGCAATTAAAGACTATTCCAGTGGCCTCTGCCAAGCACCCTCCGCTCACTACAAGCCTTACACTAGGTCGACAGCTGTAAGTCCGGCGCTCGCAATGTTTCCCTTGGGATTTACGGCGCTTTGGCCCGTTTGTGCCTCASCTGGGCCCTGCTCCTGCTCAGCACCTCTGCTGGGATGGAGGCACGAGGGGTGCAGGGAGGAGCAGCCAAAGCACGCCGGGCAGTGGCACAAAGTGGCCCCGTAAACCCCCAAAGGACAACACTTGCCAACTCCGTGGGATTCTCCCACCAGAAACAGGCGGCTCACAGGCAGCTGGAAGYGTTTTCTCTGGCTCAGGCCAATTCAAGCCGGTGACAGTCCCGTGGGGACACTGGGGCAGATCTTGGATAGGATTTCAGAGTGTCCAGAGCAAGCTCAGGGCTTCTTGGATAACAAGGCAGGGAGGAGGCACAAGCAGATGGGATCAGCCTAACCCAGGAGCTGCTGATGTAGTGGAACTATCCCTGCAGAACGAGCACAGGGGGATGAGCCACACTGGCATCACCTCCTGGCAGATGGGGACAGGATGAGGAGGGAGAGAGAGGCCAGGCAGCACTGACCCTTAGCAGGGTGCTTCAGCTGGGATCTGCTCCTGTCTGCAGGGAGTGGGCTGGAAGCACAGCCCCACCTCTTGCTCTGGGCTCAGATTTCCCAGCAGGATTGGTGTTTTGTCGCTGGGAATGTTCCTGGGAAATGGGAATGTGGGTCTGACCCCTGGTGCATGGGCAGCTCAAAGGGCAGAGGTTCCCAGTGTTCCCTGGAGTGGTCCCAGGTTTGTCAGGGAGAGCAGAGCTGCCCCACAGTCGTGTCCCAGGGCAGGCCCTTGCTCAAGGAGGGATGTCCTTCAGGGATGTTCTCTGGTCCCCAGCTGCCCCTCAGTCCCTCCCTGCAAAGCCTGCTCAGCACCGGCTAAAGGAGAAAATGGTCCAAAACCCTGTGGCTTTCTGGTGGGAGTGAATACAGACAACCCCTCTTTCCACAGAACATTTCACTGGTGTCTCTCAGTCGTGCAGTCGCTTTCCAACTGTCTCAGCATCTCAGCAGCAGCCAGAGCTGTTCCACAGAGGCTGGGCAGAGCAGGGCTCTCCCAGCTGTCGCTTTGCCATGTCTGGCCAGATTAATTCTGCAGAGAGTGGTGCAATTTCACTCCCTGCTGTCTGAATCCCACTCGGATCATCTCCATGTCTCCCTTTCGTCTCCAAACGCATCAGCCCTGGGCCCTGTCACCCCTGGCACCCCTGATGCGGTTTGGTTTGTTCATGTGACCCTCTGGTGGCACCTGAGCAGGCACAGCCCACACRTCCCTCACCGTGCTTCCTCCCCTCCTCTCCACAGGGTCTCGATGACTACGGGACGAGGTCCGTCAGCAGGTAAGATGTCACCTTCCTGTCACATTCCCTGCGAACTGTTGGTGTTGGCTGTGGGCAGCGTCCCCATGGGGGTCCCTGAACAGGCTCCCGAGGGTGTGGCAGTGGCTGGGATGGGGCCAGGTCTGTACTGTGACAGTGGAGGAACCCATGGAGGGCAGGTCCCAGGGCCAGCCCTGGTGTCCCCAGCCTCATGCTCCTGCAGAGGGTCGGTCACATCTCCTGACCTGGATAGCAAAGCCATGGAGAGCCCGTGCTCTGGGGTTCTTCCCCAGCACCTTCTCCATCCCCTGTGCCTCGGAGCCGCCCCGTTTGTCGCTCGTGGGGCTGAGYCCGAGCCGTGGCTGGGTGGAACTCGCCGCCCGTGGGTGCCGCGGTGCCGTGAGGGTGCTGGGCTCCCGGCTCGGTGCTGCCCCGCGGCCACTCTGGCATCTCTGTGCTTTGTTCCGCAGCGGCAGTGGCAGTTTGGTATCAACGGTGTGAGGACACCCGGGCTCGCGGCGGCCCCTTGCTGCTTGGAAGAGCTTTCTGCTTCTTTCCCCCCCTTTTTTTTCCCTTCCCTTTCGTTTCTCTTTTCTCTACTTCTTTTGGATTTGAAACTCTTGTGATCTTCAAGGAAACCATGGTGCTTCTCACCCCTCCCTGGTGTTCACAGTGCCCTTGTTTCTGAAGCCTTTTTGGAGCAGAAACTGCCACCAGGTCTGTGCTGACAGCCCAGGTGCAGTTGTCACTTAGTGGGACCCGGTGTTTGTCCTCCCGTGTGATGTTAGCGATGCACTGTYCCCCCCCGGGGCCGCGCCCCGCACGAGCCTGGACCAAACTCCCAGACTGGATCACATATGCATGGCCTCTGGTGTCCGTACTGTTACTGAGCATCCGGGATGCCCGCGCCCGGGATGCCGTTCCCGGAGGGGTGGCAGCGTCCCCGCGCCTCCCCCTCGGCCCGATCCGCTTCCGTGCCACCGCGGTGGCTTTGGGAGAAGCGGATGGCACAGAGCTCCCGCCCCGGGGAAAGGGCTGCTTCTGGGCTGGGGTCCCGCCGGCTGCGGGAACCCCCTCGGAAGAGTTACTCCTGGTTGTTTTATAAATATATATATATATATATTTTTTTGTAGCAAGGTATTGTTACCTCACGTTAGGGCTGGGGCTCCGAGGATGTGCTCGCACCCCCACAGCGGGCTGGAGCGAGGCTGTGCCCCCGAGGGGGCTCGGCAGTGCCCGGGGGGCTCCCACCCCGCACTCGCCCGGCCGTACCCTCCCAGTGCCCGTGGCCGTCTCCACTGCAAAGCTGTTCACGCTTTTTTTCTGATGTGATTTTTAAGACCTCTGACATTGCCTGTTTACTGGGACATTGCTGGCAATAGACCCCCACCCCGGACCAGTTTTTGGGTTATCTCCTCGCCTACGGGCACACTGTTCCGAGCCCCTCCTGCATCGATGTCCGAATTTTGCTAAGGATTTTTAACCCAGGATATTTCACGATGAATGATTGAATGTAGAGGGGAAAAAAAAAAACAAAACCACAAACCCAGCCTAGCAAAGCCTGTGTGGAGATTGTAAAGTGCTGAAAAACCTTTTTTTAAAAGCCAGAGAGAATTGTGCCCTGTACTGAGTTATTGTTTGAATAAAAGTTTTATTTATTGCATTGAGCTGGGCCTCGGTGTCTTTTTCGGCTGCCGTGCCTGCGTGCTGTCCTCACCGCCTGCATCGCCCACCGCGCATTCCCAGCCGTGTTTTTGTTCCCCGCTCCATCCCCGGGGATGCCGGGTGCTGCCTGTGCGCCRCCGGCACTAAACAGCTTCGCTGAGCGGGAGCAGCGACAGCTGTTTGAGGGCCGGGTCCCCTGTCCCTGAGCATTCCAGGGGGTGATGCYGCTGCTGCTCCCGCATGCCGAGGCTCCGGCTGTGCTTTCCCGGCGGTGGGAAAGCGGCGGTGGCCGGCACGGGGGGAAGGAAGCCGCCCCCACCCTCCCTTCCGTAGCCCCTGCCGTGCCCGGCCGCCGCACTCCCACAGCTCCCGGCTGGCCGTGCCCTTCCTTCCCCTCCTCACAGCACCAGGGACTCAATAAACACCACTTTTCCTCCTTTCTCTTCTTTTTCCTGCTGTTTCCTCTGCCCGCCGGCGCTGCGTGCGGGGTGGCCAGCGGGCTCTCGGGCCGGGTGGCCACCRGCTCGCGGCCTTAAAGCCTCTCCTTAACCACGACCTTCTGTCGCCGTCGAGCGTCCCGGTGTCCTCCAACCTGCCTTCTGTTTCCCTTGCAGCCCCGATGTTGAAGTGGCCAGGTTTTGAGGTGCCCCTGCCCGTAGTAAGTGCCGCTGTCGCGGGGCCRAGCCCTGGGTGCGCTGGGCAGCGGGTGCCGCCGCGGGGACACACGGGGACGGTGCCACCGCTCTGCTTCCCGCTGCACCCGGCCGAGCGCGTCCCCTCCCTCCCTCCGGCACCGCTTGGCGRGAGCTGCGGCTCTCCCCGGCTGCCTCTGCTGCTCGGCTGCTCGCCCCGCTGCCGTGGCTGCGCTTCCCGGGATGCTGAGCTGCCTCCGCGCTTCCCCCGCTCCCCGTAACCAGCTCTTTGGTTGTAGGTGTCCGGTGTGGTGKCCGTCSSTCGCTGTCCCCAGCCCTSTCCCGCGGGGCGGGGCACGTCCACACTAACCGCAAGTTTTTTGAGCAGCTTTTTTTTTGTTGTAGACTCGYCCCGGGAGCCTCCTGGTGCTGGCCCCAGGGATGGGATGCAGGAGCCTCCGCAGGAGTGGAGCCCCTGCTCGCTGGGGAGCCCCATTCCCCGTTTCTCTTTGATCCATGAGCTGCTTTCCCTGGAGCTGCAGGCTCCATCCCAGTGGCTCTTCTCTGCCAGCACAGAAATAGTTAAATGAGCCCYGGGTGACTCATCAAAGCAACTTTTCCTCTCCCTCCAGTCCTGAGAATCTATTCTGGCATCCTGGGGGGGAAAGTGATCTAAGTATCTGCATTAATTAGGTGTGAAATTAATTACCCTATTTTTAAGSAAAAGCCATTTATCTTTTAAGGAAAGGAAAAGTGAACGTGGAGAGGTGAGGGATGGCAGRGAGGGGACCTGGGGCTGACAGTGAGTGACTGTCCCACGGGGGTGCAGGTCCCAGCATCTTCCTTCTGCTCTGGGAGATGGCTGGGGACATCCCAAAGCTTGTGGGGACATCCCAAAGCCTCTGGGGACATCCCAAACCTGCTCAGTCCAGGTGCACATGATACCCCAAGGTGGGTGACTGGCCAGTGGGCCAGCTGTGGGACCTGCTGTGGGGGCTGTGGCTCCCTGGGGAGGGCTGGGGACACTGGGCGGATTAAATGAGGCCAAAGGGAGGGCAGGGGGCTGCTTGGTGGCTCCAGGCCTGGTGCATGTTCAGACCCAATGGCCCCAGGCACCCCAGGAAGCCAGAGGGACCCCCAGAGCTGCCCACATCCCTCCAGAATTAACTCATGCAGGGGAGAGGACAGAGGGGATCTCCTGGAGAGGGGGTAAGGATGTTCCCCGTGCCAAGGCAGTCCTTGTACCCCGTCCTGGCCAGGTGAYGATGGCAGCAGGAGGGTGCTGGGGGCACCCCAGGTAGGTGAAACCCAAGGTCAGCCTGTCCAGGTGTCCTCAGTCTCCCCCACTCTTCTCCCTGGAYAGTAACTTCTCTAGAGCAGCACGAGGCTCTGCAGGGAGCTGCCAGCTCTGCCCTTGGTCAGGAGGTGAAGCCAAACTCCCCCTGCTCCCTGGAGCAKCATGGTGCACAGCTGGGTGATCCCRCMGTGCTCCGGAGCAGCTTCTCCAGCCCTGGCCCCCATGGCATCCCCAGCTTTAGGCTGAAGGAGAGCCAGGTAGGAGAACATCCCACTGCAGCTGCCCTCAGCTCATTTCTGGGAGAGGAGCTGAGGAGTGGAGGCAGCTCCAGGAGTGGGAGCAGCTCCAGGAGTGGGGGCAGCTTGGCCGGGGGCTCTGTAAAGCAGAGCTTTTCCAATTTTCCCCTTTGCAAACGCTGCTGAGCCCGGGGTCTCGCTAGTCGCCGCTCGCTGTGCTGGTGCCCAGTCCTCCCTCTGTTAACTCTTCCTTCCTCTTCCTCTTCCTCCACAGGAACCCCTTTGCCAACGTCCAGCTGAAGCCAACGGTGACAAACGACCGCTCGGCTCCGCTCATCAGCTGATCCGGGAGCGCTGGCGCCCACGTGGCACTCGCCACTTCCTCATCCTCCTCCTCCTCCTCATCCTCACCGCTGCATGTCCGCCTTCCCAGGACTCCATTTCTAGGCAGAATTTATTTAATCCTGCTGCTTTGAAAGCCAAAGGCTCAAGCTAGTGCCCTAGCTCTCTCTCCTCTAGAGTCCCTCGGTGGCAGAGGGTCACAGCGCTGCCATGTCATCTGTCCTTTGTGCACTCCCCGGAGTCAGAGCTGCATGTCCCAGTGCAGGGATGACTCTCTCGTCCAGCAGCAGCTTGCTGTGGGTGGAAGGACAGGCTCAGCTGGAGAACAGCTCTCCGTGGGCTCACAGAGCTGCAGTGGGCAGTGATGGCACAGGGGACAATATCCCATGGGGTGGGAGGGACCCCGAGGCCAGGCAGGATAGCAGGACACCCCGAGGGATGGGGCAGCTCCCAGGCTCCCACCCCGTGCTCCAGTGCTGGTCACCACTGCAGCCCCCGCTGGGACGGGGTCAGCTCCGGGTCCAGAGCTCCTGCTGCTCTGGATATTGTAGGGAATTACGGTACTGCTGTAAAATATAAGCTAGAAAAAAAAAACCACTCGAGGAGGGGAGGGCGGTGTGTGAGCGAGCCTTGGGGTGCCCCTGCTCCCTGCACACAGGAGYTCCCATCCGGACCTCTTGCTTGGCCGTTTGCTCTTCCTCTATTCCTAGGGCTGCATGAGAGAGAGAGATAGATAGAGATAAAAATATATAAATATATATACACACTTGCTAAGCTTATTGCTGGGAGTGCCCATGAGCGAGGTGGCTCCCGGAGCCCTTCCCACAKCTCCCGAGTGACCACGGTCACATCCTTGCTCCAAAAACAGGGAGAAGGGCGTTTCCAGGCAGGAACGGTGTCTCCCATGGGTGAGGGGTTGAATCTGAAYAGAGTTTTTGCTTTTTCCGTTGTATTTCTCATTTTGCACTTTTTGGTGGTGATCACTGGTGCACCGTGTCCTGGTCCCCACAGCCTGGGCAGTGGGTGCTTGGCCGGGCACAGAATGTCCCCAGCACAGAGGGGGCTCAGTCCCAGTCGGATGAAGTGGCTCATTTGTCCCTTCCGATGGCTTTGCCAGCTCCACTGCAGGAAAACAGCTTCTCCTGTGACCGCCCAGGCTCCAGCTCTGCACGGAGGTTCCCTGCTCCATGATGTGCCTCCTCTTCCTCTCCTGTGCCTCCTCTTCCTCTTCCAGGGCTGGAGCAGATGGGTGGGGGCCAGATGGGGCAGGGGCGAGGGAAAGGGCTTCACTGGGGTGTGGGGCAGTGGGTGGGAGAGGGCTGGTGGCCACAGCCCGGGGTGGGGACAGGCCTGGGGTCCCCTCGACCATTGCGGTGTCCTCTTCCACCCCCGTGCCAGGGGCTGTCCCCCTGGGTCCCCCAAGCTGCCACCCTGGCTCCAGCCAGCCCCCAGGGGCTTCACTGCACCTCCTGGCTCGGTGGCACCTGCAAAATGTAACCTGAAATAATTTTTTATGAGAAAAAGTAATTTATGAGCAATTCAATCTCCCCCAGCCCTCCCTCCTGCAGCATCTTCCCCGGCCAGAAGCTTGTGGCCAGGCCCTCCCAAGCTGGATCCATCCTGGGTGCTGGGCAATGATCGGGGCAGGAAACGGCTTAAGATATTTTAAAAACTTTATTATTGGCCCGATGAGATTTGACACACATGCTGGGAGCTGTATGGAAATCAGCACTGATAAAAAATACAGCAATTATGACCCGTATTGAGAAAATAGACCGTGTAAGAAGAGCCTTTCTATTAAAAAAAGTTACCCAAGCCACAGCTCTGTCCTCATCCGCCMTCTGGAGCCGGGTCCTGTGGCACCATAGACCAAACCTGGGGTGTGGGGTGGGGAGCTGGGCCAGCACCTCTGGGTGCAGGGGGTGAACAAAGCCCCCTCTGGTGCAGGGAAGCAGAGATCAGGGGGGTAGGAGGGTGGGTGCTGCAGGAAGGGAATGCCAAGATCATCCCAGTCCTGCATGGGCAGCACCCCTGGGTGCTGCAYCCTGGGCCAGTGCAGGGGGTGAGGTGAAAGAGAAGGAAAAAAGCTTGGGAGAATTGGGGTGGAAGGGTTACCAGGCAATAAAATACTTAAATAAAGCACTAATTGCTTAGTAGGGAGGAGGAACCAGCAGTGGGGGGTACAGGGTGGCTGAAGGTGGGGTCCCCCAGGGCCTTGGCCCCCCACAACAGCCTCCTGAGCACCGAGGGCTCTCCAGCTGGAATGRAGCTGCAGGCTGGGCTGGCCATGGGAGTGGGAATGGGTGGGAGAAGGGTGGGTGGGTATGGGAACACCTCTGCCAGCACCGGGCCAGGACCCACTGCAGTGCCAGGCTGGGCTGGGGACAGGCTCATCCTGCGTGTCCTGGTGCCAGAGCTGTGTCCAGCCCAGGGTGGGATCATCCTGTGGCATGGAGCAAAACCCCTGGCACCAGCCCAGGGTGGGATCATCCTGTGGCATGGAGCAGAACCCCTGGCACCAGCCCAGGGTGGGATCATCCTGTGGCACGGAGCAGAACCCCTGGCACCAGCCCAGGGTGGGATCATCCTGTGGCATGGAGCAGAACCCCTGACACCAGCCCAGGGTGGGATCATCCTGTGGCATGGAGCAGAACCCCTGACACCAGCCCAGGGTGGGATCATCCTGTGGCATGGAGCAAAACCCCTGGCACCAGCCCTATCCCACTGTGGACATGTCCCTGCAGGGGACACCCAAGTGCCCTCACCCCTCTGCACAGGGCACCAGGACAGKGCTGAGGGGCTCAGTGGGGACATTTCTCACCTCAGGGTTTGGTCTATAGACCCCAAAAGGAACCAGCCCTGATTTCAAGGTTTCGCTCAGCTCCGCTTACTTCTATTTCCTTCCGGAAGCTGGAATTGCACAATTATCCTAAGCCTCGAATGAATTTAAAAAAACAAAAACAAAGAAAGAAACAAACGAACAAACAAAACAAAAAAAAAAAAAACGGAACAAAGAACCATGAGCGCGTCCCCCCTCCCCCCCAACTCGATATGTCTCTTTGGCAGCAATAACTTAAAATCGCGTCAATGTGGGTTCAGTCAACAGCAAGTTTTGGTTTTGGGGTGGGGTTGGGGYTTTTTAATCATTTTGTTTAAATACAAAAATAGTCAGGTTGGCGGGTCCCGGTGAGGGATATTCCCCCCAGAACCAGCCCTCCATGTGTCGCTCCCTGCTGCAGTGGGAAAAGGTCCCACCAGTCCTCAGGGTGCCCAGCTGGGACTGATCCCTGCAAACCAGGGCAGGGGAGCTCCAAAGCCATGGTGACCACTCYGGGGAGCCATTGGCATCCCTGGCACGGGGAGTGACATCCAGAGTGGCAGCAGCCAGTGAGCCCTGGTCAGGAATGTTGTGGAGTGCCTCTGGGGCAGCCATGGGGCAGCTGTGGGTCCGCTGTGGGACAGCTGTGGGGCAGCCAAGCTGCCACAAGGTGCAAGACAGCGCACGGTACAAGGAGGGGACAGCCGGGGGGCAGTGGGGCGTGGGGACAAAGTGTCCCGGGGAGCACATGGGGGGCAAGAAGCCAAGGGGGACTTCACTGGGGAGGACACTCCGCAAATGTTAGCAAGGTCAGGGCACTACCCTTGAAACGCTATAATTTATATATATATATGTATATATATATATATAAGTGTCTATTTTACACACACGCTCACAGCCACCCGCACACACGCACGGCCGTCACCGTCACCCACCGCCTGGCCCCGCGGGGGCCGTGCCGGCCCCGCTCCCACTCGCAGCAGCAAACGAGTTCCTTCCGAWAAAATCTGCCTAAAAAATCCCGAGCAGGGTCTGGGAGCTCAGGGGCGGCCCCCACGCCAGCCCCGCCGTCCTGCGCCACCCCGGTGCCCGGGGCGATGCCGGCTGCTCCCGGCGGGCTCACTCCCGGTCACCGTCTTCGCTGCTGCCTGCAACAAGCGGAGAGAGCCGTGAGAGGACACAGCCCCCCGCAGGACACCCGGTGACCGTCCTGCAGGGTGTCCCACCCCTCACAGAGCAGATGGCACTGGGACACGGCAGCTCCTGACAGGGATGGTCCTGGTCACCCACACGGAAACATCCCAAGGGGGACTCACCTCCTATGGAGTCCATGTCCGAGTCGGAGACGTGGGTGATGGAGAACCGGGACACCGGGGCRGGTGAGACCGTGAACCGGGAGAACTGGATAGGCAGCACCTGTTTCTGCGCCGGCACCAGGGCGGGCAGGGTGGGCACGGCCGCGGGGGGCTCCGCTGGTGTCGCCGGCAGCGAAGCCACCAGGGATGGCTTCACTGGCATCAGCGGGAAGTCATCGTCCCACTCAAAGCCACCGCCTGGGATACAGAGTGAGGGAGCTGAGCCCACTGTGAGGGTTCCACCATAACCTCTGACCCCTTTACCCCATAACCGGCCCCTCATCATCCCATCAGCGCTGTCCCCTTAACCCCATAACTTCCCCCCCACATCATCCCATAACCACTGCCTTCCCACCACTCCACAACCAGCAGCCCCATGACCTCCTGGTCTCTTACTCTCTTCCGAGGCGTTGCCATCCGAGGAGTCGTCAGAGGCTCCCAGCCTGTCCGTGGGGCTGGGGGGGCTGCCACTGGCAGGGGGCTGCCCCGAAGGCGAGGGGGGCTGCCCCGAAGGCGAGGTGGGCTGCCCCGAAGGCAGGGGGGGCTCCGGGAAGCTCTGCTCAGCCAGCTCCCGTGTGGGGCTTTCCTGAGGATGGGGAAACAGCAGGAAGGAACCTCACTGGGGGCACAGCTGGAAATGGCTCCCACCACCACAACGCTGTGGGGCCGTGCCCGGTGCCCGGCTCTGTACCCCCAGGACACCCACCTGGTCGAAGAGGTAGATGGTCACATCGTCATAGAAGGAGACGGCCTTTTTCTTGCGCTCCAGGTCCTCACAGAAGGACTCRGACAGCAGGCTGGGCATTTTGAGGAGGCTGCGCAGGTTCCGGCCGCTCTGGCTCTCGGCCACCACGATGGGCACAGCCGCCGGCTCCTCCTCGCTCTCCTCRCTCTGCTCCTG